GTCCTTGCCCACCTTCTCTTTCATTCGTCAATGGCTGGCTGTTAATCCATACTGCTTATACTTAGCTTATCACTCAGCGTAATAACCTAGCTAGCCTAGTTGCTGACCTGACTGATGGGCCTACTGGTGTTAAACGATGCGGTGGCGACTGGCGAGCCAAATGAACTGCAGCGTAGACAGCTAGTTGGAACAATTCCACTTGAATTTTGCAGCAATTTCGCAGGATGGATGATGATCATCTTCAATTCACTGACTCTGTGGTGTGTGCCAAACTGCCAATCGCCCAATCTGGTGGGGATCGCGAGTGGCTCTCGCCGGGGACGCGCGTGCACTGCTCGCGACCACGTCCACTTGGTGCATGCCTGTCCGTACACCGAGCATTTTGGACGGCTAGGAAACGGTTAGCCGCGTGCAAGTGTGTGCGCCTCTTGGCTTTGTTTGAAGGACCATGGACGTGGATGGAAAGAGCGAAGCGAGCGACAGGGAGGAAATGCAATGGACAAGGTCAACCACAACCAATAGTAACGCACCGTCCGGCCTCAAGAAAAGGAAGAAGAGCAGATCAGCAGCAGCCGGCATCAGCGAAGGCAGCACGCACGATCCAACGAGATCAAGTGAAAGGTCGTGCACCTGCTCTGAAACTGTAGCCTCTCTCCCCTGTGTGCGCCTTTGCCCGCGCATTTCCTACAGTGCATGACACCTGGCTGTCCTGGCAGCAGCAGCACCGGGATGGATACGATCCTGTAGTGGAAGGCACTATGGCAGGGCTCAGCGAAAGGACCTCCATTGACCCCGCCAGCTAGCCTTTTTCGGTTCCTCAACCCTGCCTTCCTGCGTGTGCTCGTCTATCTGAATTCTGAAGCACATCATCTAGTGGTTAATCAGTACTAGGTGGTTGCTTCGAAAAATTAATCAGTAAGAATTCCTTTCACTTTCAGCCATTACTCTCCGTTGGAAGATGAGAAGAATGATAGATAGTAGTAGATGAAATGGCTGTACCCCTGTACTACATATCTGAATCTGAATCCGTCTCCAGCAGTCCAGCTGTCTGACAATAAGGTGTGTGCCGCCGAAGAATATGTTTGGCTTATAATTTATTTAATTTGTAAATAAAGAGGAAACCTGAGAGTATGGCCAGGTTGATTAATTAATTTATTTAATTTGTAATAAAGAGGAAACCTGAGAGTATGGTCAGGACAGGCTGATCAACAATTGGACATGCATGTTGATGCACCTGCATGAGGCCGACAAGGAATCCAGGAGGTAGGAGCTAGATATTTTCTTTCACCCGTTCAAGTACACGATAAATCCCTTTTAAAAATCGAAATCAAAGAAAGGAAAACAAAAAAAAAACAGTTAAGGTATGATGCTTACAAATACAAGCATCTGCATTGATTTCTTCTACACCACTAAATTTAGCAAAAACGTCTTTTCGAGCAACACTTTCACCTGCGACAGGATGCATGCATGCTCCATCAAGCTAGGCTGTGGTGATGTACAGGCGCTGCGTGGCCGGCCATTCTTTTTTTTAGATGAAAGGTTGCCCCTGCTTTATTGCCATAAAGCGTTCAAACATCTTTTACGCACAGTGTATAGGCGCGCCCGCCACAACTAACACACAGGTTCAAAACACAAACGCCTAAAGGCCAAAAACATCAACAGGAACCCCCACTACAGTTTGTAGAATGTCAGCGCCTTGATCAAGCCTGATATCACTTTGAGTTGCAACGTCGAAGACCTATGCCGAGGACTGAGAAACCGACATCACCGACCCTTATTGCATTTCCCCATTCCAACATATTCTTGGTGGCAAGGTTGCCTTTGTCTCCAGCTTCTGAATCACCGAGTCCAACCAGTCTCCTAGCTCTTGATTGTACATTGGTCTCCATCTCCTCAGGATCCTGGTAACTCCCATCAGTACCGCTTTCTCCCCTGTCCAAGTAAGCCCCTGAAAACACAGTTTGTTACGAAAATTCCACAAACACCAGAGCACAGCTGAAGTAACTATGTTAGTATTGAGATGCTTCTTATGAGCTAGCCAAAACGTAGCCACAAACTCAAAGTTCCAAATACCATTCAGGTTCAAGACCTCTGCTATCGCAAGCCACGCCCTTCTAGCAACACAGCAGTCAAATAACAAGTGATTAACAGATTCTAGCTCATTGCAAAATAAGCAGGTTTTATCTGTAACCTCTCTCCGTTTGGCTAAGTTGTCTCTAGTCAGAATTTTATTTCTTTAGGAACTTTTAACTTCCAAACTGAAGAAACATAGACAGGCACCACGCCTCTGTTGCTTATAACAGCATAAAGTGATTGTACAGAGTATTTGCCATTGGAGTTAAACCACCAAATAATCTGGTCATTATCTTCCTCTAAGTGAACAGCTTAACAGATCAAACCACATATTCATCAGATTTTCTGAGACCGCGCGTCTAAAGGACAGTCTAAGGACCTGTCCATCCCACACTTGGCTAATAGTTTTACCATGTTGATCATTAATGACATACAGGGGCCAGAACTGAATTGCTAGGTGGCCGGCCATTCCTCCGGCTTAATCCGTTCGGCTTTCTATCCGGCTGCGATTTCGTGCCCGATTAAGCAAAAACAAAACCCGCCGAGACAACCTTTGTTTAGACCTCGAGAAAGCTGGGGTGGAGCAGCTGCAGGCAGTGCGCGCTCGGTGCGCGGGCAATCGTGCGCGAGCACCGCGCCCGGCCGCTCCCGAGACAGAAGTGGGAGCAAAAGGCACCTGCCGGCTGCCAAGCAAGTGCTCCCCGCACTAGGCAGCAACAGTCGTCTGAACTCTGAAGAGAGAGTGGAGTCCGGGCCTGTGGCTGCGACGACGACGACGACGAAGCAGCATCAGGCATCAGCGGCAGCAGCCTGATACGGCCACGTTACCCAAGCCAGGTTCTTGGGGCCGGCTGGCCGGCCGGGGCTGGCAAATCCAGGCACCCAGCTGCAGGAGCGGTACTGTTACCACGCCGTGGAAGTGGAATTGGTTGCAGAGAGGCCGGAATAATGCGAAGGTGAAACCGCCGCGCATCAAGCGAAGAAGATGCGTGGCAGGGCTACATCTACATGGCTTGTCGTCTGTTGGGCGAGCAGGCCACTTGCCACTGCTGCTAGCCTGCTAGGTTGGCACCGTCCGTCCGTCACCAACCACATCGGTCCGAGCCGAGGTCTTTCAATACATACAGGGCTTTGAATGATCGATCGCCCCAATTGGCTAGATTCGATTCGTTTCCACGTTCAAGCCTCGCCTCGGCTTTACCGTTTAATGGATGCTAACTAATCCAAACCTTCTTGCATGCTTATCTTCAGTAGTTCAGTTTAGGAGTAGATCACTAGTACTGTGCTGTGCTCTGTGCAAGTGATAACTGAACAGCAGCATATGTATCCTGGCTTGCAGATCTAACTCCAAATCAGACGACTGTTAGTGTTATCCACTTTTGCTGACAGCAGTAAAGAAGCTGCAACATAACAGGAGCGCAAGCTTATCCTGAATAATAATATATAATATTACTAATCCGGTCTTTCTGAAACGAGGAACTCGACAAAACATTTGCTTCGCTGTGAAGCAACAGCGGGGGCTTTTTGCATCAAATTTGCAACGGCGTGGAAATTTCGCTGAAACAGTACGACTGATAAGTTCGAGCAAACAACCGGTCACTTGTCTGAAACTGAATGGATGGATATTAGTAAGGGGGAGGGAGGAAAGTGGGCGAAGAAAGTTGCCTTAGGTTAAGGTAGGTGATTGCTTCATCCTGGCTAGGCCCTAGCTCCTGCCTCCTAGGATGACTGGACCCTTACTCCTACCTTGGATTAGTGACCTAGGTCTAGTTGCAGTTTGATAATCTGACAGTACATGATCTGAGCAATAGAGGTCACTTGTTTCTGGTTAGTGTGCAGTTTGGATTATATACTTGATCATGCCCCCCCCCCCCCTACCCCACAGTGTGTGTTTGGGAAAAGCTACCTGGAACGGGAACTCCGTGTCGAGATTCTAAAAGGATGGGGAATTGGAAGATGCTGCTAGAGAGATGAGATTAGAGGAATAGGTGAATAAAGTGTGCGTGGAAAAGTCATGTGAAAAAATGGTGGGGTATTTCCCATAGTTTTCGTCGAGTTCGAGGGATTCGGTAGAATCTTGCAAGCATGCAGTGAACTTCGTGTGTATTGTTCTCTCTGCAGACAGAAAAGGGTGTTTGAAATGAAACATCAAAATGGGAAAGATTTCTTCCACCTTATGGGCCAATCTGTATTCTAGTGAAATTCAAGGCCCATTGAAACTGGATAGCTGATGATGGGCTTGGTTCGACGAAACTGAACGCCCAATGCTCTCAAACTTTATGGCCCAATCCGAGTACCGCAAACTAAGGTTGTCATATACATATCCTGGGCCGCATGTGGGCTAGATTTTTACAAGGGCCAGCTCCTTTTCATCTGAACATCATGACGAATAGTACAGACGAAGGTACATGATGGTGAGTTTCTAAAAAAAAAAGGTACATGATGGTGTAGTACAGGAAGTACTAGTCGTAGTACCAGGCGATCACGAGATGACCCGGTGGCCCATGGATCACCACCTCGTTCTTGTTGCCACACAAACCATCAGCATGCTTGATTGGTTGGTTCGTTTCATTACTGATTTATGAAGAAATATTGCTAACTTTTGTTTGGCGATTTTATTAGTCGAAGTTTCTCGCCAAACGAGGTATAAAACGCTCCACCGATGAAGCTAATTTTAGAGCTTTGGGGTGGAAAGAGCCAAAATATTTCTCCCTCCCTCCTCCGTAAAAACATGCTCTCTCACGGCCATTTTGAACAAACAGGCTGCATATGTGTGGCCGAAAATCTTCGCATTTTTTCCAGTGTCAATTAGCGCTTAAGGAGGAAGGACCCGCCCCTGAGCGAGCGCGCGTGCCCGTTTGTGGCCGAGATCGCAGCGCGGGTGGTAGACTGCAGGAGCAGGACCAGCCGAGCTGCCGAAGCCACCCATGCCCCCCATGTCGGTGTCGACCGCCCTCGCGCCGGCGGCGCCGCCAAAGGCGTCGCCGACAGCCAGGAGCTCGGCACGGCGTGCACCGGCTGACGCCGCGTCCGAGGCCGCCTCTTCCGTCTTCGGCTCGGCCGCGTTGCTGACACTGACGCCGGCCGCGCCCGCCGCGGCCTTGTCCAAGGAGGACGTCGCCGGCTCGCTTATCAAGGTGCGCGCACGGGCCAGTTTGTAGCATTGGCCGCGCGCTCTCGCTCTTCTTGAAGCTCTGATTAATTTGTTCCATGCATTGTGGTTGGATTCATTGCGCAGGTGGTAGACACGGTGGACCAGGCCATCGGTGTCGGCGGCAAGGCCGCTGAGCAGGTGGCGGCCGTGCTCAAGGCGCTGGGCGAGGCCGTCAAGCCGGCGCTCCCGGTTCTGAAGAGCGCCAGCGACGAGGCCCTCAAGCTGGCCGCGCCCGTGGTGTCCGGCGCCTCCAAGCAGGCCTCGGAGGCGCTCCAGGGCGCCGGCGTCGACCCCGCCCCCGTTCTGTCCATCGCCAAGGTACAGTGGTACATAATAAGCCACAGCTTCTTGATCACCGGCCGGCGACTGTTCCGTTCGGTTTGACTTGACGACCTTGCTCTGCTCAGTAGACCGCAGCGGAGCAGAGCACGAAGGTGATCGACGCCGCCAAGCCCGTCGCCTCGGCGACCGTGGAGACCATCACGTCGTTGGGTCCCGAGGGCTACGTCGTGGCCGCCGGAGCGGCGCTTCTCGCGTACCTCCTCGTGCCGCCGGTCTGGTCGCTGGTCTCCTTCAGCCTCCGCGGTTACAAAGGTAATGGCACTGCCACCTGTTGCGTCATTTGATTTTTTTTAGACCAAAAGCATTGGCCCTGCTTTATACTGAAAGCAAACGGATACTGGGGATACCAGATTACAGTGACGTTCAGCAAGAGAAACAGACCTCCACTACCCTCTATAAGCCAACAAACTGAGACGTCATTTGATTTCATCAATGCTGCAATACCATTATACTGTACATCTTTCGCATTGTTCGTCATGGCAAAATTCTTCATTCCGTTGCTATATAAAGGTGAGCTGACCCCTGCGCAAGCACTGGACAAGATCACCATGCAGGACTACGTCCTGATCGACGTGCGGAGCGACAAGGACAAGGCCAAGGCAGGCGTGCCGCAGCTGCCATCGAACGCCAAGAACAAGCTCATCTCTGTGCCGTATGCAGTCATTTCTTCCCTCGAGACCTCGACACGAGCTCTCCTAGAATGTACTAGCTAGTGCATTTTCTTCATTGCAACGCAGAAGTCATTACGATGCTGTGTTCTCAGGCTGGAAGACCTTCCGAGCAAGCTGAAGGGCATGGTGCGCAACGCGAAGAAAGCCGAGGCGGAGATCACCGCTCTGAAGATCTCCTACCTCAGGAAGATCGGCAAGGGCTCCAACGTCATCATCATGGACTCGTCGGTGCACCCCAACCATCTCCATTCCGATTACTTCTGCCTTTCAAGTTCCAACTTTGATGAGCACGGTGGTGTGGTGGCATTTCCTCACCTTCGTGTGTGGTGTGGTTTTCGTATGGGCCTGCAGTTACAACGACGTCTCCAAGACTGTGGCCAAGACGCTGAACAGCCTAGGGTTCAAGAACTGCTGGGTCATGGCCGGTGGCTTCTCGGGTCGGAAAGGGTGGGCGCAGAGCCGCCTCGGGACGGATTCCTACAACCTGTCCGTGGTCGAAGTTGTGACGCCGTCGCGGGTGATCCCGGCAGTCGCAGGCCGCACTGGGACGACCTCTGCACGCATTGGGACGACCTCGTCGGCGTCCCGAGCAACCACTCGCAAGTTTCTTCCCGGCAGCGTAGACTGATGAGTGGAGCTGAAACAACTTCAAAGTGTAAATCCAAATGTTCGTTTTATTTTGAGATGCAACTTTTGCTCTGTGCGTTCATTTTGTTCTTTTGCAGTAATAGCACAATTTTGTGTCCAAGACTGGAACCGTCATCTGGTTCATACAGGCTCTTACATCTTTCCGAAAAAAAAGGCGAAGTATTTACAGCCTCTCTCTTCTTAGACGAAAGTGCACATGCACCATCGTTCAGAGATTTGCAGAGTAAATGCAGCTTCATCGTCACCCCCTTCATCAGCATTAGTACAACTTATACACAGATCAACTGTAATACTACGCGATATTATGCTTAAAAGAAAGCTAAAATGACAACTTGGTAGAGTGCGTAGAGTTTGATTTTCAACCTTCAACTATCCTATAGTCCGTTTTTTAAACCTTCAAACATGAAACCAGACACCGGAACATCCGACTAGTCAATCTGGTCAAAAACACGCCAGCATCAATTCGAGTATTCGACCCTGATTTCATTGTTTTGTTACCGGTTCTGAATTTGAAGGTTGAAAAATTAAACTTTTGTGATAGTTATGAATTATGAACTTCTCAGTCTAAATAATTGTTGTTACACCAGGAAAATATGTCTCGATCCGTTTTTGTCTTAAAAAGCTAAAAGTATCTAATTATAATACCTTATATATAAAGTTATATATTTTGATAACCGTTTATGCCATCGTAGTGTTTGACAAGAGTGTCGTTTGCAACCTAAAATCCTTACTTTAGAAGATACAAAAAGGAGAGTAAATAAAAAACAAAATAAGCCCAAGATTTTTCAACTTTACTTTAGGACATAAAAAATCTTTAGCAGTTAATCAGATTAAGGTTTTAACTAAGAGGAATGCTACAAGACACACGTTTGTTTCTTTGTTTGCTGGCACACAAATTTTCTGTTCGTTGGATGGACATCGTGTGTCTCGTTGCCACCGTGCCATTTCTTTCTCTGATTTGGAGGGCCCCTTTGTCGGTACTGTCTAAAATTGGGAACGCCTATCCATTCCCCATTTCTGAGCGTTTCATTTGCTCTTCCTCTTCTTCCCCAGCCTCGACGCTCTCCCCTGCGCGCTCCCAAGGCGATTTCGTCGTCGCTGCGGCGATTGCTCCGGCGAACTCGCGCTTCCCCGTCGCGGAATCATGCCGAAGGTATTTTACAGGTTCCCGGTCGTGCTCTGGTCGCTGTTTTCCCCCCTTGTTGCTTCTTTGCACTTCTGTACTCGATCCCGTTTCTTCATGGATCTAGAGACTTGGGTGGGGAATTTTTATGGGATCTAGGTGGGATAAGGTAGGGGATTTGGGTGGGAATTTCGATGGATTCGCGAGCAGGCTTTTGGGTGGGGCGGAGGGATGGAGGTTGTGGAGGTTGTCCGCGGTTCTCGTCAGCATGACGATTGCTGGCTCGTGTGCGTCGCCCGGATTGGGGGCAGGGGAGGCTGCTCGGGGATGGGTGGCGCGGTAGATGGTCATCGGCGTTCATGATTTGGGGGATTTGTCCTAGTTCATGGAGGGATTCACATTTTGTGTTGTATTTGCCTTGGTTGCGGCAAGGGTTCTGGCTGTGGATTTGGTTGCCACAGTGGCGGCTGCTGGAGGTGGATGGGGTTCACTGATACCTGCATGCTGAACCAAACAACATTCCATCTAAGCTGAATGCTGGTTTTGTCGGGTGGGGTGGTCTTTCAACAAATTTGGGACCTGGGAGGCATGGGGAAATGCTGAGTTGTTGGTTTGGTGAAGGTGTTTTTTTGGCATATTTGGCTGCAAATTTTCTAGGAGCAAGGACCTGCATGCACTGTGGTGTAGTTTGTTTGTTTCTTACTTCTGCTGTTCTAAATGCATATTGGGTGAATCTAACTTGACTTGTTCATGTATTACTGAGCATGTGTGTGTACTGTCCTAAGGAAAAGTAGTATTGTTTATTCTTGTTGAAAGCTAGTGGAGAGCCTTCATTGTCATCAGAATGTTCATATGTTCCTGTATCACTGAACTAAATATGTTGCTAAACTAAATATTCATGTTTAGTTTTATTTATCGGTACTGCAATGCACATTTAGAATTGTTGTATGCTATTAGGAATTCAGGATGGATCGGAGCCTTTCTTTTGTTCTGAATGGTGAGCGTCCTTTTTGCAGGCCAAGTCTTGAGCCTCTGCATGTTTTTTTTGAAAGGAAATTGCCTTATGTTACTAGTAGCAGATAGGAGTTATTATGCAGTTAAATAAACATCTCCAGTCCTAGTTTGTATTATAATGTGAAATTTGCTCTAATTTGCATTGAGCATGAGCTTGCATTTTTCTAATTTGGTCTAGCTTGCATTTTAACCTACATTAAGTTCATATGTGTCTCTACTGATCGTAGTTTCCTTGTAACATTAAGTCTGCTTTGTGATAGTAGTCGCTTGTTCTCTGAATATCTAATTCTAGAAATTTATTGATGTAGCTAGTGTGAAATTGTGATTTGACTGCATGTTGGATGCAGTCATTATTCGGTGTTTTATATGTAGGTTAATGGTTCTATTAGTCTCTTTTTTAGTTTGAGTTTCATGGATGCTTCGCCCATTGATGGATTTGTAGCATTAGGTTAGTTTCATATCAATGTTTGAATGGTTAGTAATTGAGCCTTTCAGTTGTTCCTGCTGGAGCACGGTCGTCAGGGCAGCCATCTGTGCCTACTGCATCAGCTGCTTCTAGACATTTTACAACACCTATAACTTCTGTACTTTAGAGAATTTTTGCTAACCTTGTCAAGTTGAGATTCAGAGGGAATTCAACATATTGTGCAAAGTTAAAGCAAATGAAATGCTCAATTTTTTTAGTACCTGTTTTCTGACAATTTGTATTTGGTTCAGGATGGCAGTTCTGATCTGCTCCCTCTCCATGTTTTATTTTAGGTTCATGTTGATCTGTTTTTTTCAATTGTGTCGTCTGTTCCATGTGAATTTGAGAATCAGTTACTTAGTTGTTGCTGCAAACTTGGACTGAATGTGCCATTGTATTTTCAGACTTTTCAGATAATTGTTCTAATGGAATAAATTGTGTCATTCTCTAGCTGATAAGAAATTGTGTCCTGAACTTCTAAATGGGGTTCAGTAGCGCCGTTGATTCTTGATCCAGCGGACACAAAATTCATGTGCACATTTCTTCCTTGTATTTGCGATTGGTTGAATTTGTTGTGGGTTTCTAGTCTGAACCTGCTCAGTTGCGCTAACTGAATGGAGACCTATCAATTTGTTTTGTTGTTTTTAGTCCGTGTATTTCACCAGTTTGTGCTAACTGAATGTAGAGAACAAATGATATCTAAATTAGAATTGTACCTGTACTCTATAGTTTTAGGATTGTATACTTCTTTTTTGAGCATTGCTACATGGCATGGGACTCGGTCCCTCCTAGGGAAGCCACCAAAGAATTTGATTCTTTCTTGTCATCACGTGGATTCCCAGCCAATCGACTTCAGCTTGTTCCTATGTTTGTGTTGCTGCTTCCACTCGTTTGTTAAAAATTTCAGTCTAAATATGTTTATAATGATTTCATATATTTTTTATTTAGAGCTATAACTGATTTTGTATATCTTTTGTTGTGTGGGTTCAGTTCACCCTCTTATATTACAGTCTTATTGTTTTTGAACTTAATATATTACAGTCTTATTATTAGTAGGGCAAGATTATTTCCTTGCCTGTCAGAGCTAAGAGATCGGTCTTGTTTGTTGCTGCTTGTAGTTTAGGTGCTAGTTGAAATGCGTATTTAGCCTTCTGTGATGTTACTACTGCTCTAGTTTAATAAGCTGCAGGTCTAAGTAAGGTTTGTCCTGTACATATATCAGAGAGAAGCAATTTGTTTTATGTCAGTATGTTGTTGCTCTGTGTTATTGTAGATTATTTGCAGTAAACTATGTATATAGGTCATCTAAAGAATTGCAAACAAGAATAATGTAAATTGCAAATATGGAGAACCGCAATTGTAGTTTAGAGTATATGCAAAATTTTTTAGGTATATGATGAACTGGTCTCCTTCTCTACATATCTACCTATAGGTATATGATACATTCCTTTTCCATAAATAAATATGGCATTAGAAATTAAATGACTTAAAGAGACATTATAGGGTTGTCATAACCTAGGCAGAGCAAAACTAACTTTATGGTCATATTGTGATGTTTTTAGTTGACTAATGAACAATTATTTTTCTTTTGAGTCCTGTACACTGAGTCTAGCACATACAAGATTATCTTACACTATTCTATGTTGCGTCATAGGAGTTCTGGAGAAATCATTTGAAAGTGCTGTGAATGTTTCAAGAGATAGGACTGCAGGAGAACATTTTGTAAGTTGCACTACTGAGCTTTCTGCTACCTAATTTTATATTAAGGGTCTTACTTTTATGTATATTCTCAACTGGTATGCTTGTTCGTTCTTGTTGGTGTTGTTTGTAAATCTGTATTATGATTCAAGGAACATTAATGAACTGCATTCTATATTATATATATATATATATATATATACAGTATATATATGCATATATATTTTAAATATGTAATTTTCATATAAATGTGTAATTTTCATATATACGTTCTGTAATTTTTCATGGTCATATTCATTGTGCCTTGTTTATTGTTAGACATCTGTATTATGGTGTTAACCTGTATTGTTAGTCTAGTGAGTCGAAGCCTTTAGTTTCAGGTGCATACCTTTAGTCAGTTCGCATGTCAGATAGCGTTGTACAGTCGTCTCTTATGATCTTGTCCTACTAGCCTTTAGGATAGTGGATTCAGGTGCTCTCATGTTAGCACAGATAGTGGAGTCAGGTGCTCTCAGGATAGTTGTAGCCTTGTTAGCATTCTGTGTAAGGGTTTGTGGTGATGCTGATTCTGCAAATGTGATTAGTGTGACCCCGTTTGTATTCTCAGTCTTAGGTTGAAACCTTATCAGGCGCTGCAGAATTCAACGTTGGTTGGGTCTTATCTTGTCTGCTTGTCGTGGGGGTTAGGACCTCCCTGCGTTGGCGGTTTCAGAGATAGGAGCTTCGCTGACGCTTTCTTTTGCTGAGAATGGAGACCTGCGTTGGCTGTTTTTGTGTTGTTGCTCCCCATCTTTGCTTGTAATTGTGCTGGTCTGGGGAGAAAATATTGTCTATTGTCCTTCCATAGAAAAAAATTGTCTATTGTATTTGTTATTGTGCTGCTCCTCCACATATTTGCTTGCACTTGTGCTAGTCTAGGGAGAAAATTTTATCTATTGTCCTTCCATAGAAAAAATTGTCTATTGTAATTGTCTCTTGTAATCTGTGTTTGTGTTAGATGAAGGATGTTGGATGTAGAACAAGAGTTGAAACTTGTTTCTTGTGTTTTCTAGTTATTGAATCCAAAATTTAAAGGCCTATGATGCAAACTATTGTTAATGAGGTGGCTGCCTAGTTGCTTATTGGCTGTGAGCTTCTAATTCCACTCCTTCGGAATTGGTATATCACACGCGTGTGTTTTCTTTGTTTGCAACACGGCCGTCCGATCTGTGTCTCGCTCAATCTGTGCACTCCCTCAGCCGCATCCGCTCCTTGGTTTCGATGTGAAGCTGATGGGCTGGCCCCACCACCTTGTGGACTATTTGTATCTCGGGTCTCGCTCCGGGGAGCCGAGCGGTCTCTTCCTTTTCCCATTTCTTCTCGCTCATTTTGCCTGGCAGGGAATGGATGGTCAGATGGATTCCATGACAGCCACCAATGGTTATAAAATTCTTAATGACTCCATCTGAATGTCCAGCTGAGGCCAAAGTGCTACACATGCCACTGAAGGCTAGCGTTTTTTTGTATTTTTTTGCCATTCATAAGTTTCGTTTACGTCACATGCATCCAGATTAATTAACACAAGATGTTTGATAGTTTCCTATTTCTATGGAGTTCATAATCATGTCAGGCTATCAATAATTATCACTTATTAGGTGTGCCAAAAAAGGTTCTATGTCCTTATATATTTCCGGTGTCTTGTTTTTTTTGGTTATCGTGTCTTTCTGTGGACGTTAGTAGTAGGTGTATTACTATATCAGGTTGTTGCTGTGATGCACTGATGCCCAACAAAATTTGCTTCAATTTCATGTTTATCAGCACGCACCTCGACGGTCGATCTCTTGGACGGCGGGACTCCACTTCCGGCGCGCCGCGAACCATGGCAGCAGCGGCCACGACCTTCAGCACGTCCTGTCTACCAGAGGTTGTTTCATCCTGCGCCCTGTGGAGAAGCACGCCTAGGTTGTATGTGCACGGCTTGTCTTGCTTCTTAGAGGTATATATGCTACGATTGATGGGAATAGGATCCAATAGATATAATTGTTCTACGTAGCATTTGTACTGCATCTGCAGTTAAGATTAGAGACTGAATCTCTGACCTTCTTAACTCTGAAGCAACCGTTGAGCTCTGGTTCACAGTATATTTGTTGAATTAATTAACTAGCACTATATTGCCATGCCTAATAATTTGATAAAATAATATAAAATTGTTGGGTCTATCATAAGAATATTAAAATATTTGTTCAACAGATGGTTCATATTTTGCCAAATCAATGTTAATGGAGTTCCCATCTTTCCTTCCTAGGTTTTGGATCACCAATCGTGGTTTTGTGGTTTTGTTTGTGCAGTCATGTTCCCCATACTCAAGTACAGCGAGAAGCACTCCAGGAACCTCATCCTGATCGCCGTGTTCACTCTCTGCTGCATCCTCTGCATCGTCGGCTACGCCTCCACCACTGTCAATGTGTACATGCGATTCCTCATCTCCATCATTAATTCTGCACTCTGAGGTATCTGTTGCATATCTCTGTAAATTGTTTGTAGTTTATATTGTATTGGAACAACTGGATCTAGATCATCTTGCAGAACCTTCACACTTATATGTCATTTTTAAGGATAGGGATATCTTTGTTGTCAGAGATTCAATGCTTAAATTGTCTGTCTTTTGTGAGAAATCCATGTTTCAAATTCCTGACATTAAGAAACTATAGAGCTTAAATGAATCCAATTGGCCTTATGATTAATTCTAGATACAAACAAAGCCTTGATGACGTGACACAACTTTCAGGCATGATCCTTTGTGAAATTTTGTAATGGAACAACTAGGTCTAGATCATCTAGCAGAACCTTCACACTTATCTGTCCTTTTTAAGGATAGGTATATCTCTTTGTGATGAAATCATGTTTCAAATTACTTATATTATGAAACTGCAGTAGATCTAAAATGTCCAATTTGTCTTATGATTAATTCTAGATACAAACAAAACCTTACTGACGCAACTTTCTGGCATGGTCCTTCCTTTGTGAAATCAATAAATCATTGTTGTATTTCTTCGTTGTGCTTAATGTCTTCTGCTATGGTGGTTTCAAGGATTTATACCCTGCAAAACAGAAGGTTAGGATAAGACTTACATTGTTCTATCACTTACAACTGTACAGCTGAAAGTTAATTTCATACTAATGTCACTACAAAAACAGAGTTGCTTTCTGACCTGAAAGCCTTGCTGAAGCAGTCAGGAGCTAAATATGCCATTCTTTATGTCTCTCAACCATCTGGTTTACTAGAAAGCCCTTCCAACCTGACATTAGGCAGGTCCAGAGAAGAATAATACTAAGGGTGGCCTAGGAAAATGTGAAGGAATCTTTAGTTTAATTTGAATTAAATAATCTTTAATATCTGTGTGAATTGTTTTTAGTTAGGTTTAATTTAGCCCAGGGTGGAGTAGATTGACTTGATTCTATCCTTTTAATATTTATTTCGGTTTAATTTATTCCAGGGTGGATTAGATTGACTTGACTCTATCCTTTTAATTTGAAACTTGTTAGTATCTGGTGTGGTCAAATTTTACTTACACTATCATTTTGTGGTGTGATTTTGGAAGTGTGTTGAGCTACATATTATTTTTCTACCATCAGTAATTTGTATTTTTTTTCATTCTGTAGTGATCATGATGTCATTGTTCTATTCAATGGCAGATTGAGAAGGCAAAAACTGCCTCTATTGATCATGATATGAGAGATGAACTGAAAATTTTCAATGTTTTATTTAGGGGAACACTAAACATTGCGCGTGTGTTTTTTAGGTTGTGGGCACACGGATTTCCTGTGCGTTGGATGAAGGATTGATGGTGTGGTTTGTTCCCACCTTTGCTGGTTTCTTTGTGACGCTGACGTGTAGGGCCCACTCTCTGTGTTACTGTTTCAGTTTTGGGGGAGTGGCACCCGAATGCTATGTTTTGTGAGAAATCCAGGTTTCAAACACTCTCTGTGTTTCTGTTTCTGTTTTGCTGTGCAAGTTTGAGGACTCAATAAGAGGAATAGCAATGGGGGAAGCTGCCGGTGACCGTGTCCTGAGCCGCCTCCACATCGTCAGGTAGTGCATTGGTGATTTAGTTTCTGCCCACCCCAATTGCTAACACATCTTGTATTTTGTTTTGCTTTGTAACAAATCCAATAACATATCTTGAAATGTCGCCAAAAATGCTAGTTGTAGTGATAGTGCCACTGGTAAGCAATTCTTTAAAAACTTTATTCTTAGCAGGCTTCACTAAACCAGGTTGTCTGTGATCTGTGAGTGTATTTTTCTGTGAACTTAATTTTAAATTGGGTGAGCTGTAAACTAGTATGAACTTAATTGTGAATATGAGATTGCTTCAACAGTCAGGCATAAGTTTTTTGAGCTGGTTACTTAATAATTGCAATTAGCAATGCTGTAAATTGCAAGTATTGAGCTCTACAAATTTAGTGCTAAGGACATGTAATATGTCTACTTTCAAGGGTTGACTATTAGTAAGGAAATCATTCTTCCATAAGAATCCTTCCAACTTTGTTTACTTGGGTGGTGTGTAGTGGGTTGTACATGGTGTAGTTTACTTGAGTGTTTTTTCACATTTTCTAGAATTGTGTAATGTCTTACTGGGCCACGACTTTTCCTTTGTTTTTTCCAATTTGTGTGGCCAACACCATAGTTAAATTAGTAATAATGCTAGTATTTTTCTAATAGCTAGAGGCAAATCATTACTGAAGCTGCACTTGCACGTCAATGCTCAGTATCTAGCCCTTGAAAGTTGATAGCAGAGGCAGAAGTGTCCTTCAGTATTGTTGTTGATGTGTCTTTTAAGCTCTGTAGCCTCATGCAAAGCTAACCTGCGCTTTACATACAGTTTACTACCATGTTTCAGAGATTTCAGGCTACATCCCTTAATAATAATTTAACTAATTCTTGGTAGGAGGCCGTTAGAGATTTTAGACATTTATCTTCAGTGCTTGTCATAGATCTGCTAGATTTTTAGACATTTATCCCAACACATTTTAGAAATTTGCTAGTACAAGATGATTGAGTCCTGCACTGATGAAATGTAATAGTTTAGTTTGTTTTTCTTTCTTTCTGACATGTGCTACAATTTGGTAGGTTGATTGAGTCATGTACTCATTAGTTGTATACCCTCACAATTATGGTTTCATTTCGAGGACTCTTTGTGAAGACAATGACCCAATGGAAGTGTTGGTTCTGTTGTAGGTTAGTCTTCCTCGTTCTACTTGTCTTTGTCTTGTGGGGGCATTTGTGAAGAATGTAGAGTGCTCACTCGTTGGATTACAAGGTTCTTGTTTCTGTTCAAGGATAGCTAACATTAGTTCTCTTGTAGATATATTCTCAGGCAGTTAGACTGACTAGCTGCTCTATAGTTAAGTGAACTGTAGTTATTTGTGAATGTTTTTTGTGATATCATATGAGGAGTGTCATGGCCTGCTTTGATAAGCAGGTTGGATTAGTGGTGTAGATGTCGTCCAAGTTATTTAGTGATTTATTAAGGTGGATTATGTATTTATATACATATAAAGTATAATTGCAATAACAATATGTATTATTTGCACTATTTGAAACGTGTAATTTTTATATTTCTGTTTTGTAATATTTGAAGATATTCATTGTACATTTTTTTTCACCAAGAATATCTCACTTAATTTTTGTTAAGATTTTTGTTATGTTAATTTCATCAATATAATGCATTACACTTAATTTGCATATAAGATTGTGCAAAATCTAGCAGCATATGAAATAGTAATTGGGTGCTCTGAGCTAATTTTAATTTGTGGCAGAGTTGTTATTTTGTCAATAAGCTTGTACGTGTGTTTACTAGGCCAACAGTTGCCGAAATGAGCAAAACTTCAATTAGCGGTTATCGGTTTGTCCGCTCGTTAGGCTTCGGCGGGCCTGGTAAGGTTTGATGGGTTTGATTCACGGACCCGTTAACATTGCTGCGCACAGAAACAATCAGAACAGAATTAGGCGTTGAATCCAGAATTCATGTGCTAGCTTTTTAAAAAACACATGGTTTTTCCTCTATTACAATTCGTGTATTTTGGAGCTAAAAAACACCCATGTGCTGGATGTTCCCAAAACACACGGGTGCACAGTAGACATGCCCTTTAACTAAATGCTTATTGAAGATATACATAGGTGCTGCACCAAGGGAAAAACTATAAACATGAATGAAAAACATATAAAAATCAATAATTGCAAATTTTATCACAAATGGATAGAGACTACAAATTATCTACTATGCCTATTATGTTAGAAAATAAACAAAAGGAAAATATTATTTTTATAGTTAAAGGCATTAAACAATAACTAGCTAGCCCGTACAAAAGCACGGGTTGATGGACTAGTAAGTACTCCGTAGTTAATAGAGGGGCCCTCTGCACTGAAGAGCTGCTTTATTGATCAAATAGTTGATGTGGCACTAGAAATGACTTCTTTAACCTGTGCAACAAAGGGCTGAAAACGAAAGCGATAATTCTCGTTACCAGAAATCATTTTTGAGAAATTATCGATCCCCCTAAACGGAAATAGTAACGGTAACCGATAAAACGGAAACCGAAAATAAAAATGAAAGTGATTTAGCTCTCTTCCGATCGTTTTAAAAAAAATACCGTATTTAGTCAATAATCTACCGTCGATAATTACTGAACTCAGGTAGAGACACAAGATCTCGTCTCCGCTGAGCACCCAGGTCAGGCGGGGCCCATTGGCCAAGCCCGCTAATCATCCTCAGCCTTTGAGGCCTTGAGGGCGCCTCACATCTTCACCCTCAGACTCCAGCACAGTGCACAACCTTTGTGTCGTGTCATTTTAATTGCTATATAATATTGGTGTCTTACGTCTTGTGCCATAGATCATTCCTAATACACTATTATTTTTCATGTGACCTGGGTTAATCTATATAGCTATTGTCATGCTGTGCATATTGGTGTGTTTATTGCATTTTAGATATCGCTTTCATAATTTTTGATCGGTATCGATGTACTTTTGATCGAATAATTTTGTTTCCGAATTTACCGGAATATCGATGCCGTTCTCGTTTCCGACGATATCATATCGATTTTATTTTCGAAAAAATAATGTGAAACTGAAAATGATTTTTTTTTGAGTTCAAGGGCTAATGCCCCGGCCTTTCAATTAAAATCAAAATACCATGAGTGCGTTTACAGTTCAGAGTCAAACACCAGCACCAATGTGTCCACCTGGACTGAAACAACGGCCTTACATCAAACACGTCCCAGGATGTAAAAACTGAAAGAAAGCTAAAAAGTCTGGAAGCAAGATCTCGCCAACTAATCATGAGCAAAGGACACGTTCAGCAACCCCCACCAGGGCATCAGGCTTGAATCATCCACCGAGTCTGGCATCAAGTTCTCATCACCAGCTTCGCTCCTATGAAACTTCAGGAAGTGTTTTGGGGGGTATAAGGTAGCCAGAGAATCTCCCCAGAAGCATTCTTGATCTTG